ATAAATCCCGACATACTTCCTGCCTACATAACTCCCACCTTTGTGTGATCAAGCACATCCTGTGCAGTTGGGGCAACCAACCTTGTTGACAGAAGTGAAAACACATGGCTTGTTATCTTACAGCAACAACAGTCCTCAGCATTCCAGGAAGTTATCTGTCCTTGGGCAAGTGGGGCTCACAGGTTAGAGGCATTTTTTTGTTTTATAGCTCTCTTAAGCACAGTAATTTAAACCTAAAACATAACTTAAGCCCTCACAGAGGAAGCTGAAGCTGGAAAAGAACCAAGAGGAAGCCTAGCCTGCTTCCCCTGGCCAGCTGTTAGCTTTCTCAAAATATCCTCTTTATTTTCATTTTTAAAAAATCTCAGAGGAAGTGCTGGAGACCCAGGTCAGTCGGTAGAGTCCTTGCCCAGCACACAGGAAGCCCTGAGATCAGTCCCCATCACCCTAGGCATAAACTGGTATAGTAGAACACACCAGTAATTCCAGTCCTCAGAGAGTGGAGGCAGGAGGATTTGAAGTTCAGCACAGCAACATCAAAGCCAGTGGAGGCTCCCTGAGACCCTGTCACAAATAAACTAACAAATGAACAACCCACAGGATTCTGAGAAAGCAAGCTGAGCTACCCATCAGCCAGGGCCCTGGCTCTGGCCTGTCTAGGCTGTCTGGGAGACAGAGTCATTTGCCAACTCCCAGAAATGAGGGAAGATGGCAGAAATTCTAAGTGAAAATGTCCCTACACCCCAGTCTCCCTCAAGCGGACACTGGCAGGGTGTGGGATAGCAGGAGCCCAGCCACATATAAGCCATGTCAGAAGGAGGGGCTGATGGATGGCAGGAACACAGGTATTCGGGGCAGGATGCAGCTGGAAAAACAGGCAGGGACAGGTCAAAGCCACTGACAAGCACCTCACCTTGATCTGGTCCATGGAGGTAGAACCCTGAATCCACAAGGCCAGAGGGCTGCATCAGCCAAGGGCTAGGAAGGGGCCAAGTGTGAGATAAAGCAGGGTTCCAATGAAAGCCCCCCCTCTTGTGTTTGGCAGTGTTGGGGAGAGTCCAGGGCCTTGCTCATGTTAGGCAAACTTTCTACCTCTAAGCCCCACCCCTGTGTGTGTGTGTGTGTGTGTGTGTGTACATGCATACATGAACATGCATGTTTGGGAGTGCAAGCAGAGGCTGGAAGAGGGCATCAGGTTACCTCCATCAATCTTCTATTCTTTTGAGGCAGGGTCTCCCCCTGAACCTGGGGGCTCCATTTTCTCTGCTAGGCTGGAAAGCTCCCATGATCCTCCAGTCCCCATTCCTCTCAGAGCTGGGATTCTAGGCATGCACAGGCCATTTGCTTGTTACATAGTTCCTGGGACCCTAACTCTGGTCCTCATGATTGTGCAACAAAGGCTCTTAGCTGCTGAGCTGTGTTTTCAACCCCGGAACTTTTCATCTTGAGACAGGGTCCCACTAAATGTCTCAGCCTGGCTTTGAACTCACTCTCTATCCCACACTGTCCTTGAATTTGGAACCTTCTTCCCCCAGTCTTTTCAGTAACCTTTCATTGCCTTTTCAGTCTTTTCATTGCCACCAGGCTTGGCTTGAACACCATTATCGCCATTGTGTGATTAGAACCATTTCCCCTGGTCTCTTGGGTTACTCCACCCCATACTCACAGCAAGGTCTGTGGGAATGGCTAATCCCCTAGAAGGACATTTGGGCTGAATCAGAAGCTGTCCCAGTTAAGAGTATAGGAGTAAGTAAGGGTGGGACAGGGCCCTGCAGCCAGGGAGCTCAGGGTTCAAATTCCAGCCCTGGCACTTATCAACAGCTGATTCATTCCTGAAGTTTCTGTAGTGCAGGGAACAACACCTAAGTCTGAGGCAGAGGGGAAGGACAGGGCTCCTGGGTGTTTGACAGGTGTGCAGAGCTGCCCACCCCTTCCCACAGGGCATTCCTTGGTAGACCTGGACTGGAGAGATCTGGGAGCCTAAGAGATACCTCCTCCTGAAGGAGAGGTGAGCAGAGGGCAAATACCCTGGGAGTCTTTCCCTCTTTTCTGCTTCTTGCCCAGTTTCAGTAATAGAAAATTTGTTCAGAAGAAGTCTCCTCTTGCCTTGAGGTCCACAGATGTGGCTGCCTGAGGCTCCATCTGCCTGTAGTAGTCCTAAGTCCCATGTCTTTACCTGCCCAGTGATCATATATAGCTGCAAGGGAAGCCCAGCTCTGCCACATGCCTTGTCTTCCCCATTAGCACATCTCAGTGCTCAGGCTTGTCATTCTGGCAGCAGCCCCCTACTATCTTGATTCTGCCAGCCACTTGTCTTCTGGGACACTGACAGCCCCTTGGTAGAGAGTCACAGTGTCACAAACACAGACACATGTGTGTCTTTCCATGATAGATTCACAAGCCACAGTCCACGAGCAACATCAGCATGCGTTGGGTTCATTAGCTGTAGTATACCAAGTAATCCTAATTTCCTCTGGTAGCATGGCCATTGGCCATCATGGGTGTTATGATACAGGGCGCAGGAGGTCTTGGAGGGTTGGGCCAAGGTGCCCTGGTGGGTGAGGGAGACATGCCATGAAGACGCAGCGGCGGGTGGAGGGGTGGAAAGTTTACTCACACCATGCAGACATGGCATCCATGTGGAAAGTTTATTTTGGGGGGAGGGTAGAGGGAATAGAGGGATGGAGAGAGAGAGAAAGAGAAAGGGAGGGAAGAGGAAAAGCAGAAGTGTGTACACCTCATGGCGAGAAAAGGAAAAGAGGAAGAAGAAGGGAGAGGTTTTTCCTTAAAGGAGGCTTCTGCTTAAAACGGCGACGTCAGGACACTGGGCAGCCCCAAGGGGCGGTTCAGAATGCTTACAACGGGTCATTTCATTCCCATCTTAAGTACTGATATTAGATCTCAGGTCACACTCCACACTTCAAAGAGGGCACAGAATGGCTGGAGTTAAAGAGGCTATGGAGCTCAAAGACCCTACTGGAGGCAGAGAGCTGGTACAGAGGCAGACACCGCAGGTGGCCAGCTGAGATATTCAGAAGCTGTTGGGGGGAGGGGAGGCGAGTGCTGGAGGCCAGCTGAGCCACAGAGCTGGGCCAAGGTAAATTGAGGCAGGGGCAAGACAAGAATCTGGCAGCAATTCAAGTTCTCTTGAGCCACCCACCAGGATGGCCAGAGAAGGGCAGTGCGGTCAGTTGGCCCTCCTTCTGTGAGGTCCAGGAAAGGGCGATGCAGTTACATCCTTTCCAAGTCTGATGTGTTCTATAAGCTCATGGGCCTGACTTTTCTTTTGTTTTCTTTTGTTTATTTGTTTTTCTTTTGAGTCTCTAGCCCAAGTTAGCTTTAACTCAATAGGTAGTTGAGGATGACCTTGAACTACCCCCCTCTGCCTGCTCCCCCTCCCCACAAGGTTTCTCTGGGTTGCTCTGGCTATCTTGGAACTCACTCTGTAGACCATGCTGGCCTAGACCTCAGATTATCCTGCCTCTGCCTCCTGAGTGCTGGGATTAAAAGCATGCGCCAACACCTCCCAGTGACCTTGAATTTCTAATCCTCCTGCCTCTACCTCTAGAGTGCTAGGATTACGGGTGTTCAGGGGCACACTCCACTTTATTTGTTGGTGAGGGTTGAACCCAGGGCTTCACACATGCTAAGCAAGCACTCTGCTGTCTGAGCTATGTCCCCAGCCCCACTGATATTGATATGTTAATATGCTCACTCCTTTCCAATTTACCTTGACAAGTTCATATGCAGGACTCCCTTATGTGCACGAACAAGATGCTTAACATTCTGTGCCTTGTGGGTCTTGCTGAACAGGTGGCAGTGTCTGTGTGCACAGAAAGATTCTGCCATCCCTCCTCAGCATTTGCCCAAAATAGAGGGAGCTGCTACTTCGTAACAACACTGAGTACTCCACACAAGGCGCAGCCTCAAAGCTGATGTCCGCAGACTATGGAATGCTAGTCACAAGCGGGATCTGCACTTCTTCTCAGGGACAACTAAATTCATGGTAGTCCGGACCAACCAGGGTACCAGCTCAAGCTTGGGGTGGCTAGTCCCTAGGGAAAGTTGGCTTCGAGGACCAGGACTGCAATGGAGCCGTGGGGAGCCTGCCCAGGAGGAAAACCGAAAGAGGGCAGTCCGCCAAGGGGCAGGAAAAAAAGCAGGCTCTGAAGACATCCGGGCACCCAAGAGCCAATCTGGGAGGCAAGCTCTCGATACTCATCACCCCACATCCACTGCACCCCCGCTTTCCAGTCCCACCCCCACTCTCTCTGTCTCTTTTTCTTTTTTCTGAGATAGGCTCTCATGTAGCCCAGGCTGGCTCAATGTAGCTAAGGATGAGCCCGGGCTTCTGACCTTTCTGCCTCTGCCCACTGAGTGCTGGGGTTACAGCAGGCACCATCTCTCTTATGCACTGCTGGGAACAGAACCCAGGGCTCCCTGCATGCCCTCAGGCACTGTGCTTGGAGTTGTGTGGACACCAACATTGCTGAGCTCACATTGATCGCATCCCCTTCCTGTTGTCCTTTCTACCTTGCACACAAGGAACCAGGGAGTCCCTCGATAGTGTGTTTAGTCACGGCTTTGAACTAGCCTGTTAGGGTCTGCAGATGACCCCACAAAAGACCACCATTGACGTATGCAAAAGCCAGAGTGTTTATCTTTTAAGAAAAGAATTCCTGCATGCAGGGATCAGCCACACAACAACATGCCAATGACTCCCCCCAGAGAAGCTCGAAGGCTCCTTTTATGGACAACCAGGAGGGGATTAGGTCATCCGAAACATGATTGGCCAAGCGAGCAGCAGCCACACTATTACATTTCTGATCGGCTGAGGCTGTAAGTGCCGAATCATGCCTGGTGTGCAACATCTCCCTCACCTGCCTAATCAGAAACTGAGACCTAAACAGAAACTCAGGCCTAGTAGAGGCTGGGGCCCGGAGAACCCCACCACGGTACTGCCGTGGCTTCCCAAGCCACCTTCTTGTCTCAGCCTTTGATACTATCATGTCAAGCCTGAATTTTTTTTTACTAGACTTTAATAAATAAATAAAGTGGCAGTTTTTAGTGCACTGTAGGCCCTGTCCCCAGCACACACAGCTTCCTACTCTCACGGTCCTCCATTAGAGTGGGTATTTTGATGGTGGGAACTTGAACCCAGAGCCTGTAGCTGGGAATTCTTTGTACTCTGCCTCACTGGGGTTTTGGGAAGACTGCTCTGTCATGTGTTGCCGTGTGTCACAGGCTGGAGGGTGTGGGTGGCTCTAGGTGCCCTGAGCCCCGTGGCTGGAAACACAGCTAATCACACAAGCATGACAGATGTTCTCTGAAACCACTGTTACCAGTCAAATACCAGCTCAGACCCCGCCAGATGATCCCTTTTGCCAAGTTCTGCAATCTCAGTAGCAGTAGGGACAGAGGCAGGCTGAATCGGTTTGAGCCAAAAAGGCTACCTACCCAGTGGAGGCACCCCTCAAACCTAGCTGCTCTCTCCCTTTTAAAAGGACCCTCATCCTTGTTCAGACGGGAGGCTGATCTTCCACAGATGCCGTCTCCTGACTCTGCCACTGATGAACACACACTTTCCTGGGCTATAGCATCGGCTCTGCATTTTGTAATTAGGTCCATGGTTCTGGGAGGCAGGAAGAACATGAAGACAGTGGACTCTCCTGTTACCTGCCTGCCATGTGTCTCCCTAGAGGTGGGATAGGAGTCAGAGGTTCTTGTGCCAGTGGTTTATTGAGAGGGCTCTTTGGAGAAACTTTGCAGGGAACCAGGGGAGGACATCGGTCCTGGGAAGAGATGAGCCCCTGGGACATCTCACCACTCTGGCCTCAGGTGACACGTGGGGAGTTATGCCACCAGACATCCAGCACAAAGAAGCCCTTAGAACTGGAGAGAAGGGCCAACCCAGAGAGGCTTCCAGAGGAGGAGTCCCCCAGCCTACATTGCAGCAGGAGGTTCCAGAGATAGTACAAATAGACAAGAAACAGCAGGCCAGGCCCCAGCACATGGAGCAACAAGATCGTAGCTTCCCCAGTCCTCAAGGCCAGCCCTTTTGCAAGGAGGGCTTGAAAAGCCAGCTGGTCCAGGAGACTAGACTCTGGGGCGTCGGGCAGCAATCCTGGGGGACTTCAGTCCTCCAGATGCCCTGGAACAGGATGGAATCCAGGAGACGGACAGTGGGCTCTCCTAGCATGTAGGACTCTTGCCCTTGCAGCGGGGCCGCCAGTAGTAACGCAGGCGCTTGTTGTAGCTGTTCAGATTTTGCTTCAGGCACAAGGCCACCTCCTTGTCACAAGCACACAACTCCTTCTCACACCAGCTCCCTCTGTCAGCTGTGGGTGAGAGAAACAGGGAATGGCTCAGTATCTGTCCCTTCCTGAGACTGCCTGCGGGGTGTCGAGGGGGTCCTGAAAGCAACACAGAGTTCCTGCTCATCTTTGGTGACACCCCCCCACACCCCCAAACGGCCTCTCTGATTGGACAGTGTGCATGTCCTCCATCTCGCTCCTTTACCTATCATCACATCCATTCACTACACTGTCATTGAGCAGCTACTGAGAGGCTGGTCCTGGAGGGGGAAAGCCAAACCAAATGGACAGGTGGGAAGGCAGGTGGTGGAGGACCACAGAACGGCCAAAGAAACAGCACCAAGCAGAAGCATGGGAGACGCAGGCCTGCAAGAGGACCAGGCAGTGTCAAGGGGTCATCCCAGCTCAGATCACTGCTCCTTCCCAAAGCCGAGGTAGCCAACGGGTGTCCCCACAAGGTGAACATCTGTGTTAGCGTCCACAGTTCCATTAACCTTAAGGTGAGCTGTTACGAGGTCCAACAGAGGTAAAAGGGAAGGCCATATTGGGGATACCTGTGTGTTCTCCCATGAGAATGGGGGTGGCTAGCATCCCCTGAAGGTTTCCCTGTTGGCTCGGTTTGACAGATTTCCGAGGAGGACATTGAATTCCAGAGAGGTTAAACAGTGTTAAACACACAGCTAGTCAATGAGGGCCTTCTTTCTGGATACCAAAAGGGTGAGGTGTCCCCTGGTCCTTTCCATACCCCCACCCCATTCCTGCCCGTCCCCAATTGCCCATGAGAGAGGAACAGCACCAGGTGTGAGTGTTTGATGTAATACCACTGGGTCTTTGGAGGCAGGGAGGGCTAGGACTTCGCTTTTGCAGCCTTGGCCCTCAAACCCTGATACTCACAGCACTGGATATTGCCCTGGGAAATGCTGTATTTGTAAGTGTCTGTAAAGATCCTGCATCCATCAGTCTTGAGGTGAGCATAGCAGCAATCATGTCTTTGACAGCACCTATGGAGAGAGGCAGACACTTGTAGGAGTCACTAGTCAACTCTGGTCACTGCCTGCTCCCCCCACATGCCCACCAGGGACGATCGAAGACATCTGAGTCCCCTTGAGGTCATGAGAGCTGCTGCTAGTCAAGGGCTCCCATACACCAGACGCCTGTTCCACTCACATACTCTCCCTTAATACCATGACTATCCCATGATAGAGGTACTGGTATCATTCCCATTTCACAGATGAAGAAACATAATTCTGGGGCTTGAGACACTTGGCAAAGGTCACATGACTCCTCTGTCTGAGGAGTCTGACCCTCAAAATGGTTGTGAAAATCAAATGAGAAAAGGCAAAGAGTTTGGGCTTCAGAATACCGTGTGTAATGGTAACAAGGAGTGTGGGATATTAGACCCAGGTTAGGGAGATGTCGGGACTTCAAGGCATTCTGGGGAACCTGCTAGAAGGCCAGTTCCAAGAGGACTGGGACTATACTAGCACTTAGCAGAGTTCCTAGCACATAGTACACGCTCATCAAAATGAGTTTTCTAATGGGTCAGTGAACACAGAAGGAAGGAGAGCCGGAAGTAGGTCAGGGAGGGGAGTTTACCAGTCTGTGGCATCTTTGGGTTCTCCTTTGCCACCAAGTCCACAGTGACAGCCATAGGGCCAGTAGTTGAAGAAGGCTATCTTCCCAGTCATGTGTCTGACCATCTTGTTCAGGTCCAGGAGCCCTCCCTGGGTTGGAGTCATACCTGCCAAACATCCAAACAAGAAGGAAAGGGGCAAAGTTCATGGGGGTGCCAGGGTCCCCGAGCAGTGTGGGGGCTCAACAGTGCTGGGCCCAGCAAGGGACTTGAGATGACAGTGTTATCAAATAGTGGCCACTGCTCCTGGTATTTAAAAAGTGTTGGCTAGGGTAGTGTAGCCTGGTGATTGAGTGCAAGCCTAACGGGTGTGAACCCTGAGTTCTGTGCCCAGAACTGAGGAGGTAAAATAAAAAAATACAGCGACTGGAACTCAGTCCTTAGTAACAGGTCTTTCAGGTATTCATTTCCCGGTTCCATCCCTTTTTAAAGGTTTATTATTATTATTTCTCTCTCTGTCTCTGTCTCTGTCTCTGTCTCTCTCTCTGTCTCTCTGTCTCTCTCTCTCTCTGTGTGTGTGTGTGTGTGTGTGTGTGTGTGTGTGTGTGTGTGTATGCGTGGGCACATAAGTGCAGGTGCCTTCAGAGACCAGAAGACAGCATAGAATCACCTGGATCTGTAGTTACAGGTGCTTGTGAGCAGCATAATGTGGGTGCTGTGAATCAAGCTTGGGCCCTCTACAAGAGTAGCACATGCTCTTAACCCTGAGCCATCTTTCTAGCCCCGCCATCCCTTTTTAAATAAATAAAGTTTCAGATGTACAGAAAAGCGGCAGCAATGGTCCAGAGGGCTCTCAGTTCCTCCTCACTCAATTTCTTCTCATGCTATCATCTTACATGATTATGGCGCTTCTGTGAAAATCAAAGTTGGTACATGGGTGTGTGTGTGTGTGTGTGTGTGTGTGTGTGTGTGTGTGCTGGAATCCTTTATTTTGGCAAGGAGGGTTGAGACAAGGTCTCAGCACAGACTGGTCCAGAACTTGCTGAGTAGCTGAGGCTGACCTTGAATTCCTGACCCTCTTGCCTCTACCTGCTAAGTGCTTGGATTACAATCTGTGCCACCATGCCCAGCTAGAAATTCCATTTTTTTTTTTTTGAGACAGAGTCTCACTATATAGCTCTGGCTGACCTAGAATTCATTATGTAGATCAGACTGGCCTTAAACTCTCAGAGATCTGCCTGCCTCTGCCTCTTTTGCTGGTATTAAAAGTGTACCTGGCCAGAATTCCAATTTTTTTTTATGTATGTGTGTCTGTGTGTGTTTATGAGTGTCTGGGCACATGCATATCTGAGTAGAGAGAACAGAGGTCAGCATAATATATTATGTTTGGGAACGTTGTCCACTTGCCTTTGAGATGAGGCCTATCATTAGCCCGAAGCTCACCAATTAGGCTAGACTGGCAAGCCGATGAGGCCAGCAATCCTCCTGTCTCTGGCCGTCCAGTCCTGGGATTACAAGCACATGCCACCACATCTGGCATTTCCCACTCGGGTTCTGAAGGTCAAACTCAGGTTTGTATGTTTTCAAGGCAAGTTCTCTACCAACTGGGCTGTCCCCCAAGCCCAGGAATTCCATTTGTAACCCCCATTTTACAAACGAGCAAATGGAGGCCCCCTGACTTACTCAAGGTCACAGAAGGAAGAAAATCAAGCCAGAGTCAAAACCGATGTTGTCTGGCTTCTCTATCTCTGGGTATTGATTTCCCATTTGGAATGAGAAAAGGAGGTCTGACTCACCCTCCCTCCCACAGCCAGCCCTTCCTCTCTGGAGAAATCTTCGCTTTATAGCGGCCTAGTAGGTCTCTGGGGAGGCGGTGTGATTTAGAAATCAATGCTGTTCATTTCAGGTCTCGTAGCTGCTGGCTAGAATTGATCTTAAGGGAAATCTGCTTTATTGGGAGAGAGGAACACATTATGTTAAATTAGGAGAAGTAAAATATATGGAATCGATGAATTCAGGGAAAACCTGGGAGAAACAGACAAGGAATGCAGGGGATGCAGGTCAGGTGCAGCCACGAGGCTTAGGGGAGATGGGACCAAGCAGTCCGGTCCTGGCCTGGCATCTCACTGAGTTCCTTCAGGCCCAGCGTAAATATTAAGGAGAGCCGAGGCCCATGCTGGAGGACTCTGGTGTGAGAAATGGGGCATTGGAAGGCATTTGTGCAGTGGACAAAGAGGAGGTCCTAAGCAGGTGGCCCTGGGTTGTGATTAGGAATGACTGGTTATTGTGTGGGTGGTGGTGTCCTCTCTGTGGGTGAGTCTGTGTGTGGCACAGTGTTCCTGGCTAAGGGGTGTTAGAGGGAGGCCTAGCTAATCCTTGACTTCACTGATAAATGACCCTAGGTCCCCAGGAATCATGTAGAATTGCCATCTGGAATTAGAGAAAGTCTCAGATTCCACGATGAAGAACCCCAAAACAACTAACTGCAAAAACAGAATCTACCTTGGGCACCAGCTGAAGATCTGTAATGCCTCTGCATTACATTGTCTCTCTGCTGAAGGATACATTTGGGAAGCTCCAGTTGAAGATCTGCATTACATTGTCTCTGTGTTGAAGGACAAATTTGGGAAGCCCCATGGCATGCTTGTGAATGGGTTTCACTGTCACCCTGGGCAAGTGTCCCTCTCAAGGGTGCGGGGGTCCCCAAGACAACATAAACTCACTTTCTTTTCTTTTCTTTTCTTTTTTTTTTTTTGAGACAGGGTTTCTCTGTGTAGCCCTGGCTATCCTGGAACTCTCTCTATAGACAAGGCTAGTCTCAAAGTCAGAGATATGCCTGCCTCTGCCTCCCTAGTGCTGTGACTGGAGGCGTGTGCCTCACCTCCTGGCTATAAAATCGCTTTTTTAAAAAAATGAAAGACCTTTTATAAAATCATGTATTTGGAGATGAATTAAGAAAATGGAAGCCAATGTGCAAGCAGCCATGCTTTTACATCTGATCTTCAAAAGAGTGAGTAGAAACTGTCCCCGGATCCCTTTCCTGCCAATGGGAGAGGGATCCTCTTCCCAGAATGCCACACAGTTCAATCTCCCCTAGTTCTCTGGCTCAGACCAGAAGGCATGGTCCTAGGTGCCTGGCAGCTTTTGATGACTCCTTGCTAGTGGTGGAAGTGTTGGGGACTGGAGTGCTAGTGTCCCGAGGATCAGAGTAGCCCAGTCTCGCTAGGGTGAAACACCTGGGATCTACCTTCAATCCTGCTTCCTCCCCAGCCTCACACCTGTCCCCACTCACCAGCCAGCAGCAGCAGCCCACACAGCAGGGCAAGTCTCATGGTTCCAGCACAGAGCGAGTCAGGCAGTCGTTAGAAGTCCCCCGCCACGTAGGCAGTCCCTTATATTAGGTCCCCCAACCCATCCTACCCAGTCTTTCTCAGCTCCTGGGGAATCGGCCCACGTGCCTCCCGCTTCCTCTTTTCTATGACTCTGGGGCTGTACTTTTTTATTTAATGTATTGGGATCCCCACCAGATTTTTGATAAAAAAGGAAACATGTACCTAGAATGGGGGATTCAGCAAGCACCTTCAAAGTCTAGGGGATGGAACCCAAGGTCTCCAACAAGCTAGGGAAGCACTCTATCCCTAAGCCACAACCCCAGCCCCACAGCCCAAGATTTGAAAAACACACAACCTGAAATGTAGGATCATCTGGGAAAACAGGAAACATGATTAGCATTTTGGTTTATGTCCTTGTGGTACTGCGTTTTATCTATGTATTTACATATCTATGTATCTATCAGTCATCAATAATCTATTGTCCATCTAATATCATAAATGATATCCACCTAATACAAAAATCATGTCATAAATACCAATAATTTATCATCTGCTATGTATGCAATCTATCATCTATCTATTGCCAATCAAACATTTATCATCTTTCTAATCTATCATCTATCATTCTAACATCTATCACTCTATCTACTTACCTACCATCCGTCTATTACATATAGACTTTTATTTTTCTGCCTCTGTACTTTCACTTTACCAAACTAGGAAAATGTTATACGTGGTACTTTGTAGTTAGTTCCCAACCTTCCCCCCCGCCCCCCCCCCCACCACCAAAAGCCTCATGTAACCCAGGCTGGCTACAAACTCTTCGTTTAGTCAAAGATGACCTTGAATTTCCGGTCCTCCCCCACCTCCCAAGTTCTAGAACTACAGCCGTGTACCATCATGTCCAGTCTGTGTGGTGCCAGGCTGGGGACCCAGGGCCTCATGCATCCGAGGCCAGCACTCTGCCAACTGAACCCAGCCCCACCTCAGTCTTTTCTTCCACTTATTGACATTAGCTGAACACGTCTCTGTGTTGTTAAGAGTTCTTTAGCAGTGGTTTGGGGAGGCAGCCTCACGATTTCTCACTTTACCTACTTTACCACTGTCTGTATGATGAGTCTCTTACAGATGGACACACGGGTTGCTGATCATTTTTTTTTTTTTTTGGTTTTTCGAGACAGGGTTTCTCTGTTCAGCTTTGCGCCTTTCCTGGATCTCGATCTCTAGACCAGGCTGGCCTCGAACTCACAAAGATCCACCTGCCTCTGCCTGATCATTTTTTACCATTCAAGTTCAGTGAAAGAGATGTCCCGACATCCCAGCTGATGCCCAACTGTTGCCTCATGTTGCTTGCTGACTCAAAGGACACCCACAATTAGAAGGCCACTGACCTGTGTTGACAACTTAGCCTGCAGATGATCTGCCCCAATTTACTCGAGAGAGCCCCAATGTGACAAATGGCAGGGACCTAGTCAACGAGGGCGGAGCTGTTGCCTGAAGTACACACCCAGGACCTTGTCCATCAACGGCAGAGATGGGCTCGTCCATTTTCATGGGTGACTGCTGGGGCCATAATGCCCAGACTGACCTTCTCTCTCCTGGCCAATCAATTCATTCAAAAAGAAAAAAAAATTGTGACAGCAGATTCCGTTCCCCCCCTCCCCCCACTACCACCACCACTACCACCATCTGCTTCTTTCTTCTTTCCTTTGTTTTAGACAGAGTCTCACTGTGACCCACTCTGGTTTCAAAGTTGTGGCCCCTCTGTCTCGCCCTCATGAATGCTAGGATTACAAACCACCCTACTGGCTGCCCCTTGGTTTCTTTTCTTTTCTTTCTTTTTCTTTTTCTTTCTTTTTTTTTTTTTTTTTTTTTTTTTTTTTGGCTTTTTCGAGACAGGACTTCTCTGTGTAGCTTTGGAGCCTGTCCTGGATCTCGCTCTGTAGACCAGGCTGGCCTCGAACTCACAGAGATCCGCCTGACTCTGCCTCCCGAGTGCTGGGATTAAACGCATGTGCCTCCGCCGCCCAGCCCCTTTGTTTCTAGACTCAATCAACCAAGTAATATTCATTTGTGATAAAGCCATGTACAGTCGAAGTAATTAGCTGGGCATGGTGGCTTATACAGTTCATCCTAGCACTTGGGTTGCTGAGGCAGGAGGGTGGCTGCAAGTTCAAAGCCAGTCTGGATTGCAGAGAGAGCTCACAAGTACTGGGCCACCAAAAATTATCTCGAAAGCAGAACAACAAAATAAAACAAAAGGCCCTCACTCAACAATAATTTTTAAAAAGGAGAAAAATACTCAACAGCAGACAAACTAGAGGCTTCTGGCATATTCTTATTGCATACGTCACTTAGTGGAGGGGTGATTGGCACTCAATAAATTATAAGAAACTTGATGGGTGTGGGGATGAGTGCTCCTGTGAAACTATCACCCCTGTGGAGGCTGTAGACATGCCCAGGGCCTCCAGCATTTTCTGTGACTGGCTGGCTCTTGGCAGGTCTCCACCTGCTCATTACTAGGCCTGAGTTCCTGCCCACGTGTCTCTTTAACCGAAAGCGACCTTCTAGATCAGGTTCTGGATAGGGCCTGCGGCCACCTCCCAATCTGACCTGTCTTGGGCAGGAGGCACAGTAGCTGGGTCCAGAAGCTCTCTGTTGGTCCCAGAAGGCCACAGACAGACATTCAAAACTCCTGCCTCACTGCTGCCCCTGATACACTTAGCAGAGTCGGGGCACACCTGGCAGAGAGGCCGCGCTCGGGTTCTGCCTCTTTCTTTTGCCAGCTCTGGGGCACTGGGAACAGATTTTGCCGCCAGGAGGTTTGGTGTCCTCACTTGCGAACCAGGGCCAAGGGTTCCTCCCTGCTGTGGTAAGATGACCAAAGCATACCACATGCAGCCACCCAGTGAAGGATGCCTCGACAGCGAGCCTTGCCCGGCCGGGCTCAGGAGATGGGACTGATTCAATGCAGAATGGGTGAAAGAGCCTGGCCTTCCCATTGTCCCAGCAGGTCAACCTGGAGCAGTCGGTCCGCTCTGCTCCTTCTATTACTCCTGTGTGAGACAGCTTGAGGACGGTACCCACGGATAGGAATGTTGTAAGGCACACAGTCCATGTTTGTGTGTGGTCTAGAAAGCATCCCGTCAGCTCATGCTTGGCCCTCTTATGGAGATATTGAGAATCCAGGGGGCCTTTAAAAGGTGGGGCTGGCCATCATGGTGTACACCTGTAATCTCCGTACTAGGGAGGCAGAGGCAGGAGGCTTAATGTAAGTTTGAGGCCAGTCTAGTCTATATAACAGGATCTGGGCTAGCATGGGCTGTATAGCAAGACCTATTTGAAAAACCAAAACAAAAAAGAGGCGAAGCCTCGTGGAAGGCCATTATCACCCCTCCCTGTCTCTGGTTGCCCATCTCGCTGAGTTAGCTCTCCCTCTCACAGGAACTGCTCCACACTCCTTCACAGCACCAATGACTGAGGTGTGACCAAGAAGGCCGTCACCACAAAAGAATCCACAGAGCCACCTAGTCTTCGACTTTTAGTCTTCCGAAGTGGGAGCTACACTCATTATAAAGGGTCTAGCCTCGGGTCTTTCGTTACAGTCACAACAAATAAACTAATCTGGGACATGAACAGGCTTTGATCCACAGCTAGAGGTAAATAAATGTTATCTGAGTCTATCCTCCTCATCAGCATCATCTTCATCCTTATTCTCACTGCTTAAGGTACCCAGAATAAACAGCTAAGCCCCTCTTCTGTGCTGCTAATCTACTGTTAATCTTATCTGATGTCTGTCTTAGTTCAATGTATTTTCCTCTATGTATAAATTGATCTGGGTCTATTTTTTTTACACCTTCTGTTTTTCACTCTGTTTAAGCTTTCTTTTATCTCCAGAAGCAGACAGGGTTTAGTTATAAACCTGGGTCCTACCGTCTGGATCACTTCGTTGACTTTTTCTGTTGTTTGATGGTTTCTCTAGAGTACAGTTTGAGAAGTGAGTCAAGAGAATCAGAAGGTATGAAGGTTTCAGTGAAAATCTGTGTGATTTTAGCAACTCCTCCCACCGCTCCTGCTCCAGACGAAGTGCCCTTGGGTGCTTCTGGACACCGTCAGGAAGTCCATAGCTTGCTTCCCTGGTCACAGCTGGGAAGATTCTTACTAAGACTGTTAGCCTGTTGGCCAGCACACTCTGCAGCTGGTGCATGGAAGGGAAGAGGCAGGACCTTGGATGTCAGAGACAAGACTCTACTACAGTAGTTACCATGGGAACTGTGAGATGGCTTAATCATTAAAGGGATTGCCATGCAAGCGTGGGAATTTGAGTTCAACCCCCAAACGCCCATGTGAAAAAGCCAGACATAGTGCTGCATGCCTGTAATGCCAGCTCTGGGGGGGTGGGGGCAGAAGGAGCTCTGGGCTTGTTGGCTGGCCAGTCTTGTTCAAAATGGAGAGCTCCAGGTTCAGTGAGAGATGCTATCTCAAAAGAACTGATAGAGAGTGATCAAGGAAGCTACCCAATGTCAAACTCTGGCTTCCACACACATGCACAGGCATGTGCATGCATACATGAACTTGTAACACACATGCACATACAAAATGAAAAAGAATAGAAAAAGTTACCGTTGTCCAGGCCTTCCTTTTCACCAAGCACTGTGTTGTTACCTAATTTAACTCTCATAACCACACCAGGAAAGAGAGACTATTATTCCCATTTCATAGACAGGGAAAACTGAGACTCAGAGAGGTTAAGAACTATGCACAGTCACCCAAAAAGTACACGGCAGAGTTGGAGTTAGCACACAAGTCTGCTAGGGCCCCCTTACTGTAGGTGTAGAGCATGGTTCAACATGTCTCACAGGAGTGTGATGCAAATAGGCATGTGTCATGACATGGAGGAGCCTCCTGAGCCTCCCAGCATGCACTGGGGTGGAAACAGGAAGAGCCAGCAGAGCCTGGATGCTGCTACCTCCATTCACTGCAGCAGCGTAAAGGGACCATCTCCTAAGACCCTTCCATGGGGTCAAGTCATGTCCTCCAGCCAGGATTAGAGTCTTTCCCTCCAGGAATTCCCAGCATAGCTCCATCTGCCAGACAGTCCCACTGACTAGATCTGTCCCCAACAAAAAAGCCTCTGGTACAGTGTCAGAAGTGCCACTCAGAGACACAGCAGGTGCCAACACCGTAGAGGACACTGCAGCTGGGCTCCCCGGGGTGGGGCAGAGATCAGATGAGGGAGGCTGAGCTTGTCTTTGGTGGGAGTGTGATGGCCTTATCCATCCATACCAAGCAGAACCCCAGGAAGTGGGTTAGACACAGGAGTCACCCTCATGGATGTCGCTGCAGAATGCACGGGTGTGTGTCAGCCCAGTCACTCGCTAAGATACCAGGTCAGTGAACCATGACACACGGGAACCCGATGAGCCTCCCATACGTAAGGACAGGAAAGAGGGTAACTCCGGGGAGACTCCAACTCTATGGTATTCCAGAACTGTCCGGGTAATCTGTACTTGCACAAACCAGGATGACAGTGACCCACAGGTATGTGTGGTGACTTCTCAAGGGGTTACCAGAGGTGCTTGGAGGTGTTGTGGGTGTGTGTCTTTACTGCTTGGTTATGTGCGTGTTCACACTGCCAAAACTCAGAACAATTAGTTTTTGCTCTTTCTCGCACATGTGTTTCCTGTACATCTGAATAGTAACAGTGACTGAAAAACAAATGGGGGGTGGTTTCTGGGGAGAGGGATCAATCGGCAGAGGAGCGTGAGGGCCTGAGTTTGGATTTCCAGCACCTGCATAAAAACCAAGTGTGGTGGCTGCGTTTGTAATCCCAGTGCTGGGAAGATGGAGACAGATAGATCCCTGGGACTCACTGGACAGCCAGCCTCGCCTAATGGGTGAGCCTCCACACGCACGCGCGCACGCACGCACGCACACACACACACACACACACACACACACACACACACACGGGCGGGGGGGGGGGGGAGAGCTTCAGGGAACCTTTTAGATGGCCGGATGTCCTGACTTCTGAACAGTTGCCGCTCCATCATCAGACAGCTTCACACAGCCATCTTAATGATGCTGCTACATTTCTCAGAGCCTCAAATTTCCTGTGTGAACAGTGGGGTCCAGGGGGACTCTGTAGGGAAGGCTACAGGTGGAATGACTGGCATGCAATAGTTGGTAAATTACTGGGTGACACGTGGTGCCCCGCCCCCCCGACTTCCAGGAATGAGGCTTGGGACTGACCCATGGAAAGGGCTGTGACACCCAGGCCCAGAGATCCTCATTTCTAGATGAGAGTTGGTCATATGCAAGGGGATTTCCACTTCGACTTCTCGGTTCATCCAGGGTGACCCAAGATGCTCTTTGCGGGGGGGGGGGGGGGGGGGGGGGGGGGGGGGGGGGGATGGCTTAGTGGGTAAAATCTCTAGCCTTGCAAACCTAGTAGCCTGAGTTTGATTCCCAAAAACAACATAATAAAGTCAGATTCTGCAGTACTCATCTGTGATCCCAGTGCTCTTACAGAGAGATGGGAGATGAAGACAGGGGAATCGGCCAGAAGCTTGCAAGCCAGGGGGCATGGGTACACCGGGCAACAGAAGGAGCAAGAAGAGAGTCCTGCAAGGTGGAGGAGAGGACTGACTCCTGAAAGCCGTCCTTAGATCTCCACATGCATGGAGATGTGGTACGTGCATGCTCATCCCACACACAAATAAATAACAACAACAACAACAACAACAACAACAAAACCCAAACTCTTTCAAAGTCCCGAGCATTCCCCATAGCCGGAAGCTGGAAGGTGGGCATAGCTGGGGGGTTCTTGCTTGTTTGCAGCCCCTGCCCAGCCCCTGCTGGCTTCCTCAGGGCCTGACCATAAGCAGGAGGCCCTGGGGTGACTCCCTTCTTGCTCATTTTTTGAAGTGGGGCAAAGGGAAATGATAGCAGTCAGTTGGGGAAGCCATCCTGAGGATTCTGTGCCGTGGGCTGAGAACAGTGGACAATGTGCCCGGCAAACAGCAAGTACCTGAGAACCAGAGCTGCTAATGTGCCTGTCAGGGTTGGCCTGTGGGAAGCAAAGGGGATACTTTGAAATTTCCCAAGAAAACGAATGTGGTCAGCAGATACTTCCTGAGCACCCACTGTGTCCTTGTCTTCTAAGGTCTTACAGTGTCCCCAGAGTGACCAGACGCTGTCAAGCTAGGACCTGTACTACTTGCAGACAGCTGGTGGCTCCTTAGGGAAGTAATGGCAACAAGGCTTTGTTTGTTTATTCAAGGATGCACAGAGGATGCCAATTTACGCAAGTAGGACAAGAAGGCAAGGGCAATAGTTTAAAATTAATAATCAAATCCCGCAGTGACCTATGACCCAGAGGCAAGATTAATACAGAGGGACATGCTATTAAGTCTATGGGAAATGACAGCCCTCTGGCATGCACAAACTTCCCCTTCCTCCAGGAAGCCCATCTGTATTTTTATTACTTTCCTGGGGTTCTGTCAGTGCCAGCATCATTCACTTCTCACAGGACAGTTTGCCTGCTGGCTGTGTCCTTCTAGAAGAGAGATTACCAGGAGATGGGTATGATGGTGTGAGGCTGTGATCCCAGCACCTGAGAGGATGAGGTAGGAGGATCACAAGTTCCAGGCTAGCCTGGTCTACCTAGCAAGTCCCAAGCCAGCAGCTGGACCCTTCCTCGAAATAAAACACCTAAAAGGACAGAGGAGAATGATCACATGAGGGCCCAGGAAAGAGGCACAACCTGGAGAGAGGCCTCAGAAGGACCAATCCCTACCTTCCTTTTAGCTCAGACTTCCAGCTTCCACACCTGCAAAAAAATAAATTCCTAGGCTTGGGGAGATGATCAGCTCAGTAAAATGTTTGCCTCACAAGGCCTAGAGAAAGCCTGTGTTTGAATCCCCAGCGCCCACAGAAAAAGCCAGTCATGGTGGCACACGTGTAATCCCAGCACAGGGCGGGGGATGGCAGAGAGGATCCCAGGGGCTCGCTGGCTAGACCACGTAGTGGAATTGATGAGTTCTGGGGTTCAGCGAGAGACCCTATCTCAAAGACTAAGGAGAGAGCAACCTCTGGCCTCTGCATGCGCACACATGCATGTATGTGCCCTTTCTTGCTCTGTGTCATCCCATGATACGTTGTAATGGTAGCCCTAGAAAACCCATATAGGCATTGGGGAACCCCAAGAAAACAGTGTAAATGTAAGGGGGTCCTCCTGGAGGAGTTTGGTGCTGGTAGATTATTGTCTTTTTTATCTGTCCCCATCACAAGGCACAACACAGTCCCCGCAGAGCAGCAGGTCTGGGGCAGCCAGGCCCTTAGGGAGCTGCCTGTGCAGGGCTGAGATGAACACATAGCTAGCTCCCTGCCTCAGTTTCTACTCCACAAAATGGGGATGATGACCTTTGAGACTGACTGCCTTCCTCCAGAGTCATTTGGTCAGTTATAGAAATACAAATGTTTTTTGAAAAATAAGTTTAAAATTTAGGTATAATTTCTTTCATTCATTCTTTTTAAATTTTTTCTGAGACAGGCTTTTATTTATCCTTGTTGACCTCAAACTTGTTAAGCAACTGAGGATGACTTGAATTTCTCATCCTCCTGACTCCACCTTTCAAGTGCTGGGATTACAGGAATGCCCATCAGGACCGGTGTCATGTAGTGCTGGGCATTGAATTCAGAGCTTTTTGCATGATACACACTTGATTTACTGAGCTACACCCACCCAGCCCTTTATTGAAGTATAATTTGTATAACATAAAATGTATCCACTAGCAGTTTGGCTAATTGAGATGAAGACACACACCTGGAGAACTTCTTAATCATTGCCGTTTTCATTAACCTTCCCCCAAACCCATTCTTCCCTGCTCCCCCTATTCTCTGCCCCAACCCATCTCCACCCCCCCACCCTCAACACACCCCTGCCAAAATCTCCCTCCAGTCTCTGAGAAGTCAATTCCGCTCCCTCCTCAAATCCAAGACAACCACTAACCCATCTCCCATCTTTATAGATGGGTTGCGCTGTAAAATTCTCAGTGTGCCTGTAACCCCAGCACAAGGAGGCACAAGGTGTGTGTGTGTGTGTGTGTGTGTGTGTGTGTGTGTGTGTGTGTGTGTGTGTGTGTGTGTGTGTCACAGGGGATTAAAGCCAGAGCACTCTACTGCCTCTGTAGCCCTCAGTCCTCCAGTCCTACTCTGTTGCCCGGGCCAGGTTTGAACTGGCTGTCACTCGGGCAGATTTTGAATCTGTGATCCTCTTGCCTCAACCTCTCAAGTAGTGAGGACTAAAGGCTTGTGTCACCTGCCCCTGCTTAGATGAGTCTCTGGAGTTTCAGGCAGATGGAATCATCCAGTTTGGGGACCTTGTCTCTGCCCGCCTTCCCTTGGGATCATATAATGTTTTTGAAGTACAGCCATGATGTTGCATGTATGGGTGGGTTGTGAACTGTGTCTCTGAGTAGCATCTTGTGGGTTTGTCAAACAGATGTACCTTTTGTCCTTTCTTCAAGTGACAGGTGTTTAGACGGCTTCTCGTTTGGTTGTCACAAGGTGAGCGAGGCTTCGGGGGACACTTGTGAGGAAGGCTCTGGACTAAACACATGCACATGCTCTGCTCTCTGTAAACGCCAGGGAGCAGAATGACCGTGCAGTACTGTGAGTATGTGTTTCCTTTATAGGAAACTGCCACACTGTCTTCAAAGGCTGCCGATTTTCATTCCCTCTGGAGTGTGTGTTCCAGTGGTCTGATGTCCTCAGCAGAATGCGCCAGGGTTCTTAAACCTCAGACATGTATATAAGACAGACAGACACACACATATACAGACACACAGACACAAAGCTATTTACATTATACATGATCTAAAGGTTATTTATTAAGGGATTTGTTTATTTTTGGATTTTTTGAGGCAGAGCCTCACTATGTAGCCAAGGCTGAACTAGGACTGGCTGTGATTCTCCTGCCTCTGCCTCCTGAGGACAAGGATTATAGATGTGTACCCCCATGACCAGCTTCTGGAGCTAATTTAAAGTGATCTAAAGGAGATGGGCAGAGTTGTGCAGATTATATGCAAGCTAAGCCATTTTATGAAAGTAAAGTGGAATTGAGTATCTACAGGTTTTGGTATTGGCAATGGGTCCTGACCCAATCTCCACCCCCACCAAGGGTAGCAAGGTCTGGCTAGGTTTAAAGCATCCAATTTAGGGCTGGAGAGATTGCCAGTGGTTAGAGTACTTGTGGCTCTTGTAGAGGATCTGAGTTGGGTTCCCAGCAACCAGTCTGTAACTCCACCTCAGGGGGATTCTTTTATGGCCTCTGTGAGCACTGCACTCACACACACAAACCCCACACATACGCACATAGTTAGAAAGAAAATCTTTTTTAGAATGTGCAGTTTGCCAAGTGATGCCTGCATGAATCTGTGAAATGACCGTCACAACGAAGGCAGTGAACATCATACCCATCACCCCCGAAAGGCTCCTCACTACCCCACTTGGCTTCCAGGCAACACTCATCTGCTTATCAGTACAGATGATTTCCCATTTTCTGGGGAATTGCACAGAAACGGAATAACACAGTATTGACATGTCTTGTCTCATTTTACTCTGCATAATTATCCAGAGACTCAGTTTGGCTGCTGCATGCTGCTTTTCAGTGCTGAGTAATATTTCCTGGTGCAGATATATGGAATTCCTAGATGACTAGATAATAGTTACCAGTCTATAGACTTTTGGTTGTTTGGACAAATGTTTTCATGTCTCTTGGGAAAGCATCTAGGAATGGAATGACTGGGTTATTATCATTTCAAGAAAATATCTGGACTGAGGGAGGATGTTACTTAGAAGTGCCTTGTTGTGTGTGGCCTGTAGGAATCTCTCTCAGAACAGAGAGGGAAAAGAGGAGGAGGGAGAGGAGGAGGAGGAGGAGGAGGGAGAGGGGGAAGAGGAGGAGAAGGAGGAGGGAGAGGAGGAGGAGGAGAGAGTACCAAACAATTCTCAGCACCTTCCCCACATGCTAATTTACTATTGATACATCTTTTTTGGTGAAATGAAATTTTTGTTCATTTTTAATGGTCTCCTCTCTCCCCCACCTCCTGCCCCCCTCTCTCCTCTTCCCCTCTTTTTCTCCATGCTGCAGATTCAGTTGGGGTGTCAAGAGTGTGAGAATGCTCTACTATCCAGCTACACCCCAAGTTCTCCCATTTTCTTGAGAGGATCTTGAAAAGGATGAGAAGTCAAGGGCCCGTGAAGTCCAGTGTGCTGGATATTTTCTCTGATGTGTTGTGCTTTCCATGTTATATCAAGGGTTCTACCAAACACCAGATCACGATGATTTCCTCTGCTGTGTGCATTTGTCTTAAAGATCTGATCTCTGTGAGTTCGAGGCCAGTCTGGTCTACAGAACGAGTCCAAGGATAACCAAGGCTGCACAGAGAAGTCCTGTCTCGAAAAACAAAGTATTTCTCTTATTTTCAATTGTGTGTCTGTGTGTCTGTGTGTGCACATGCATGTCATCAAATCCCCTGGAATTGGAGCTACAGGTGTTTGTGAGTCATCTGATGTGGGTTTGGGGACCCAAGCCCAGGGTCTCTGTATGAACTGTGTTTCTTTTTTTCCATTTTCACTTATTTTATGTGTGTGATGTTTGTCCACATGTGTGTGCAGCATGTGTGCGTAGTGCCCATGTGGCCATGTGAGGGCACTGGATGCCCTGGGACTGGAGTTACAGAGGTTGTGAGCTGCCATGTGGGTGCTAGGGATTGAACCCGGGT